AAAAAGTATAGTATGCAACTCCAAACATTTGTAGACACTCGCCCGCAAGCTTTGCTCGTGCCCAATTAAAATGTGTGACTAAAATGTATTAAAGGTATTATCTACTCAAACCTTAATTAGGTAGGTAAACCTGTGTATTAATTGAGAAAAAAACGAAAAAAAAAACGTTTAAAATATGTCAAATTGGTAAAAAGTAAGGTTAAAACTGCTTAAAAAAGTTGTCAGGTGTCAGATAAAATTAACTTTGAAAAAACATTCAGTACATTTATACTTTTTTCTACTCCCACCTTTAAAACGACCATTATCGTACATGACACTAAGTGACCTTTTAAATACACATTGTGGCTTTACGTCGTTTTAATGACAGGCTGAAGTTAGCAACAGGTTTTTAGTCATGGGCTGAAGTTAGTTTTAAGTTAGTTGACAGTTGTCAAATGTCATACAATCGTTAAAATAAAGTGCATTTCTTGTAAAATAATACTAAATGTAAAAATTATTTTATTATCTCAATACAAAAATACAAAAGTATTAAATAGTTTCTCAACGCCAATATTTGAAAAGTTTATATGAACATTGTACTGACCTTAAATTCGAGCACGGACTCCACTGTAAAGTGCTCATAAAACATTTTCTTTACTTTCACTGTAAAAGACTGTCCATTTTCAAGAAATACATTTCGATTTATAACCTTTATAATCCGTGTTTATAAAATATAAAAATTTGACATTTGACGGTAACACCCAGATTCCCCTATTGTTTCATAGATGGCGCTCTATAAAAATATTTTATTTAAATCATTTTAAGATAATAATAAGTATTTGTCGTAGAAAAGGTATAGTATGCACCTCGTTTATAAACTTTTCTATACACTCATTAATTTAAGAACTCGCTCGCAAGCTCGCTCGTGCCTAAATTAAATTCGTGTATAAAATGGCGTTTATCAAACTTGATACATAATATACTATTATATATATCTAATGATTTTTACAAATTTTTAATGATTAAAGATGTTACTTCCTCCCATGTTTTTACAAATTTTTAATGATTAAAGATGTAACTTCCTTCCCATATTTTATTCGTAGTAAATAGTAGTAACCTATTTTATATTATAGAGTGTAGTTTATCTAATATACAGTGATGTAACCGAAACATTTTTTTCATACTACATACTCTCTGGCAGATGTATCTGGGTACAGATACCGATACATTTTCCCAAAAGTATCTGGGTACAGATACATTCCAAAAGTATCCAAGTTACTTCCAAATACTATCTGTTAAAAAACTTAAAAATTAAATGACAAGGAAAAAAATTGTTAAGACTTGATAACGCAATAGATATTTATGAAACAAGCGTGTAAACTATAAAATATCCAGCAGGGTCGGACATTATGATATCCAATGGTTATCCAATGGATATCCAAAGAGTATATCCATTGAATGTACGTGTGGGGTTGCAATCACGATCTAGATACTAAAGTAGATCCTGATGTATCTTGATTCAATATCTAGAAACATGTATCTCGATACATTACATCACTGATAATATATATATAAAGTTTAAACTTAAACACATTAAATTATGAAGTATTTCACAAATAACTTAGTGAAAACATTGCGGCGCCAGCTTGTTTAACTTTCCACTTTTTCACTAAAACATCAGTCTGATGCAGACTCTGGTGCTAAATAAAAGTAAATATACCAGAGTGGGTGTCGGGTAATTAGTACTTCCTTATTGAAGCTGCTCATTTCATTCACTTCATTCATTCACACCAGTCGTTTTAATTTGTGCATTGATATTTAGCGTCGAGTATTTTTCCAGGTAACATTCGGCCGGATTGTTTTATGTGGGCAGTAAAATAATAACTGCACTAAAATATTGGGTACAAGTTGTCAGGTGCATGCCACCTACTGTTTAGTTCCACTCAAATGCGCCCCACCCACGTCAGGCGCCACAGTACATCCTGTCGTCTTAGAAAGCAACATGATGAGAGGGGTGACTAAATAAAAAATACAATTTTCTATTTTAGGCAAAAAAAATTTCCTTAATTATTATTAAATAGGTACTATTAATTTTTTTTAAATATATTTTTAACGCAAAACATCAATATTTGGATATGAGTTCAAAGAAATATTTTTAACTAAAATAAGTTTTTTCTACGACCACTATGTAAAAGTATTGGCATCGTTGCTTAGAAAATGAATCTTTTCATTGGCAAGGCAAAACACGAATGTAAAGTGACAGGTCTGTGCACAGTGAAAAGAAATTGACAGCATCGTTTGACATTCGTTTCAAAATTTGTATTGTATTTGTATATGTATGTCTAAATATCAATTAAAACACAATTAATTGTGTTTGTATAATAAATTCTAGTTTTTAGTGGCTTTATTTAAATTGAGAAGGTAAGTTTATTGATTTCAGGTAACTTAAATTAAAAGAATAAGATGAAAGAATTTTAACAGCTGTCAAACACGTTTTAGGTTGTTTTGTTTTGTATTTGAATATAATAAAAAATAAAAGGGTCGTAGAAAAAACATTGTGTTTCACTTGTGAGAAAAGCTTTCTTCAAGCTCGTGTTAATGCACACTCGGCCTGACGGCCTCGTGAGCAACTTGAACACTCGCATGAAAAAGTCGCTTTTCAACACTAAAACTAAAACTTATTTCAACAACGAAACAGAATATGAGGTTTCCAAATGATTTAAAAAAACTGACACCTGTCAAAACCAAAAATTGCTATGGTATTAAGTTAACACCACCATCTTTTGTTTTTCAAATGGCCGCTATATTAAAATTTTACACGGTTAGATAGAAGAAAAAGGAATTCAATGATGTACCAAACTACATAAGTTGTGGCGGCCTTAATAAAAACAAAAATGGTGATGTCTCAAAATATAGTAGCGAAGTAATTGGATACAAATTTCCAGGAATATTGAAGTTACATTACATTTGTTTTTGTTTTTTTTTAATTATAATACTATTATAAGGACACTTGAGGGTGTATAATAGTATATTATGTATCGAGTTTAATAAACGCCATTTTATACACAAATTTAATTTAGGCACGAGCGAGCTTGCGAGCGAGTGCTTAAATTAATGAGTGTATACAAAAGTTTATATGTATAAACGAGGTGCATACTATACTTTTTCTATGACAAATACTTAGTATTATCTTAAGAAGATTTAAATCAAAAATTTGTATAGAGCGCCATCTATGAAACAATAGGGGAATCTGTGTGTCACCGTCAAATGTCAAATTTTTAGCACTTTACAGTGGAGTCCGTGCCCGAATTTAAATTATAGTTTACTGCCGGTAATACTTTTGTATTATTGAGATAATAAAATAATTTTCACATTTAGTATTACAAGAAAGGCACTTTATTTTAACGATTGTATGACATTTGACAACTGTCAACTAACTTAAAACTAACTTCAGCCCGTGACTAAAACCTGTTGCTAACTTCAGCCCGTGACTAAAGCGCCATAAAGCCACAACAAAAAAATATTAAAAATTAATCTAGGTTTAACTTTTTCTTTGATCATTTTATTAAATTCGTATTTCAGTTTTAGTTCGTAGAAACTTTAGAGGCATTAGAAAAAATTGCTATAGCATTAATTTTCCCAACAAAATTCTGTCTATAAAAAATTAAACTTTAATATATCATCTTTAAATTCGAGCAGCAATAAAGTAGACTCATTAGTCATTTAATCATAAAATTAATGTGGTGATGGAACCCAATATTATAAATTCGGGTATAAATAGACGTTTATCGGCGATCATTGACATTAATTAATGGTTCGAATTAAGAGGCAGGATGTAATTTTTAAAGTTATTCGAAAAAGATAAATGTTATGTAAGGTACCTACATATTTCTAAAAATTTTAAAGAAGTCTAAAATGATTTAGTCAACCAAAATATAATAAACACCTGTAGATGCAGAAACAAATCTTAAATATTTGTAATGTCTTCAAGGTAATGTTGTACTGCTACTCTTACTCCCAGTATCGGCTGGTTGATTTTGGGTATACCAATATCTTAATTATCAGATATGGGACTCACACCAAATTTATATGAGTTTATAATAATAATAATAATTTGAATTGAAGTTTGCGAAAAAAAGATAAATTTTTGCTCGGCCGTACCGGCCCCATGGCGCCTCCAATAAATATAGATAATATAAATTTAGTTTGTGCAATTTATTATTTACCATAATTTATCGACAAATTTAAAATTTTATTTAAAAAATCCAAATTATACAGATTTTATACCATTTTAAATTTTTAATATTTCTTTCAAAGAACTTCAATTTAAATTCTGCTTGCGCAGAACTTGTTTAATTAATGTCATTATAAACTCATATAAATTTGGTGTGGGTCCCATATCTAATAATTGAGATATCGGTATACCCAAAATCCACCAGATCTTATCAATCTGTTTGTTAACTTAAAAGGAAAACGTTAAAATGTTTTAAAAATAATCGGTGGGTAAACAATTAAATAATAAGTAATAGTTTTAAGATGTCGGTTTAAGGCACTTAAATTGATAATTTTACTTATTTAAATCTTTTATGCAAATTTAAGGTATAAATATAAATCAGCAATTTGTTATTCTAAGATAAAAAGATAAAATCTCGTGTTATTAATAAAAATAAAATCAAATATCAACTCTGCGGTTACTAGACCGATATCGTTTTCACATTCGATGTGTTCGTCATTAAAATATTTGATGTGAATTCCTGTTAATGTTGATACGAGCGTTATTTATTTTACTTTATAATAAGACAATATAACTTCGGATTCTTAATGTTCCCACGACATTTTCTTTATTTTAGGCACGTGGTGGCAGACGGCGCCCGTCAAGGACAACCTCATTTAGACCACTAAAATTTGGCAGGAAACAGCCGTGTGTTTATAGTTTACTTAAAACGATGTTTTACTATTTATGATCATACTGCATTTTTTTATTTATTACTGCGGTGATTAATTTGTTTCGTTTTTTTCAGATCGAGCACCTAGTGAAGTATCTTTGGTCTGCAGGGATTCTTATCCTGAATCTTTCTCTACAAATGGAGGTATGTAGATTTTTATTTTTCATCTCTATTTACTACATTAAATAATACAATTAATATAAAAAAACTAGTGATGCGACATCCAATAATTGTACAATTAGAATTCATTATGCCAAGAAGCGAGTATTTTTGTGCTGAACTAAAAGTTTACGAGTAGCTGATGCCTACAATTGAGCGAAGCACAAATGACCTTGTTTGCCGAATTGCATACATTTTATTTTCAAGGCACAATAATAAGGTTAATTTTTTGTCCCATGGGACAAAAGTTTTTATGTGCCTAGGCCATAATCAATCACTTTAGTGCCGAGTGTTGACGACAAGAAAGTTTAATTTATGGACCCTTTAAAAAATATTAATTATACAATTAAATGAAAGGAAAAATAAAATCGAAAAAAAAAGAAATATAAAATTATAATAAAATATAAAAACACAAATTATAGTCCAGGAAACAAAGATTGTAGAAGGAAAACTCGATGGTGAGTCGATGTAGAGTCAGGGGTGCTGATAATGAATCAAGAATATTCCCCAAAAATTTATTTCCTCGTCCCCTAATTTCATCCCCCGATAGGGGAGTTTTTTTGCTTTTTGGCTCATAACTCGCTAACCGTGCATTTTTTCAGAATTTGACCTCTAATACTTTTGATTATGTACTAAATAAGGCATACGTCAAACTCTACTGCGCACCTATATGATGTGCCCTTTTGCTATGCAAAGTTGAGCGTTGCTTTTAAAATCACTTTTTTGTTTTTTTTTATTCCAATGGGGTTTAACATGTGCCTTTTTGAAATTTAAGGACGCGGAAAGAAATTTTTGGGGAATATTCTTGATTCATTATCAGCACCCCTGACTACATAAAAAAAAAACCGACTACCATCGAGTTTTCGTTCTACAACCTTTGTTTAATGGACTATTAGTTAATAGTAGGTATATTGATAATATAAAGCATCAACACTCAAAATGAATATAAAACAGAATTTTTAAATTATGTATTATGCCTATTTTGGATTATTCGCCCTAATACACACACAGGCAAAATAATCGATCCACACAAATTTTCGATGAATTTCAATCGCAAATAACTGTCGGATTTAAACGAATATTAAAGAATATTGTAGATAAATTAATGGACAATGGCTCACATTTAAAAAAAATACTAAAAAATAGACGTACGTTTATAATATACAGGTTTAAACAAAAAGATGTTTTTACCATAAATTTAAGGCACTCTGTAGAGTGGCAAAACCGTATATTATTCTAAATTAAGTTTTATTTATCAAGTCACAACTATTCTTAACAGTTTTGTTTTTGGTTCACCTCGATATATTTATTTTTGTGAAAAATATGAATTTTTTAAAAAAACATTATTTCCAATATTTTTTTCTGTAGAAGAACTAAAGTCGCTATGGTCCATCCATAGGCTATGGAGAATGACAGTGACAGTTTTGTTGAATCATCCCATACTTGGACATGTCATACACGGCTTTCAAAAGCTATCAAATTGTTTTTTGCAAATTAATGTTTAAATTTTGAGGTGTCTTCTTACTTTAAAAAATGGATATGTCTCCGAATGATGTTGCCAGAGCCATTAATTTAATCCAGGATGGACGGTCACAGTATTCTGTGGCAAGTGTTTTAAACGTCACAAGAAGTAAAGTACAAAGGGCAACATCAGTCGGACATGTTAAAAAGTAAGAAGACACCTTAAAATTAACACATTAATTTACAAAAAACAATTTGATAGCTTTTGAAAGCTTTATATGACATGTCTAAGTATGGGATGATTCAGCAAAACTGTCACTGTCATCCTCCATAGGCTATGCCATAGCAACCTTAGTTCTTCATACAGGAAAAATATTGCAATGTTTTTTTTTTAATCCATATTTTCAACAAAAATAAATATATCAAGGTGAACCAAAAACAAAAGTGTTAAAAATAGATGTGACTTAATAATTAAAACTTAATTTAGAACAATATAAGGTTTTGCCACTCTACAGAGTGTCTTACACATATGGTAAAAACATCTTTTTGTTTAAACCTGTATATTATAAACCTACGTGTATTTTTTAGTAATTTTTAAAATGTGAGCGATTCTCCATTAATGTACCTACAATATTCTTTAATATTTGTTTAAATCCGAAAACAAGTAAAAAAGTTATTTGCAATTGAAATTCATCGAAAATTTGTGTAGATCGATTATTTTGCCTGTGAGTGTATTTAACACAAAAAATCGTTAAATAATCGACTGCGATAATCGGCGAAACCATAAAATCGCAATCGTAATGGTTGCATCACCAAGAAAAACATTTTCAAAAATCGATTGAGAGAATATTGTCAAATAAAACGGACGAATTATTATAAAAAATATATCTTCGTTATTACCAATTATTGATCCTCACTCAACGGTTTATGTAAGTTTCTGTAAAACAAGGTACTCACCTATCAACTTTCCTTTTAACTTTTTTGCCTTTTTGTCTTATTAATAAGATATAATAATTATAAAAATTATAATAACAACATAACAAGATAAAATAAACCATAATGTGGTGGTTTGAAAGCCACCTGTTTATGATATTTTCTGTAATCAGAGTTGGCAAAACTATAAATAACAGTCTGTTATTAACAGATAAAAAGCAACCTGTTGTATAATATGTAAATGATTACCTATTTTTCTAGTTAGCAAGTTCACAATTATATTACCATCTCGCCCTTAAGATCACTTACTGTAGTACCTCTATTTACTCACCTTAACACGCACATCTTTAAAGCTAAATCAAATTTAGCGCCAGATATTCGCAGACAGCGTCACCTACTCCGGCAACGCTGTACTACAATTCATTACTCTATTGTGCGTACCAAAACACACACGCGTTTTGCCAAAAACTGTGAAAAATTTATTAAAATGCCAAAAAGAAGTAGATCACCAGATTCGTCTGACTCAACGGATTCAGAAGAGGAAGTAAGACGTCAAATTCGGAGATTAAAACGATACTTACGAAATGAAAAGAAAAATAGAGGGGCGTCGCCATTACTGGAGGATGAAAACAAAGAAAACGACTATGATTCAGTCTATTCCGAGCAAACCCTCGGTAATAGTAAGTATCTAATTGTTTTATTTGAAGCTTATTGTTTTAGATAATAAAGGAATATATGGTAAAAAATCGGCGTGTTACGCCAAGACATAGAAAAATAATTTTGATTTTTCTATGCGCCAACACATAGTTAAAATGTTAATGGGTGTTTTACACAATAATGCAGCTTTTCATGCTGCAATTACGGCGTGTTACGCCAGGTTAATAACAGAAAGAAGCTGTAAATATAACCTAACCTATAAGCCGGCGTGTTACGCCAAAATAGGAAAACTATTAATAAGTGTGTTACACTTTTAATAGAGCATTTATACTGCAAAATGGCGTGTTACGCCAGATTAATAACAGAAAATATATTATAACCTAACCTATAAGCCAGGTTACACCATTATTGGTAAACTATTAATGGGGGTGTTACATACTTAATAAAGCATTTTATGCTGCAATAATGGCGTATTATGCCAGGTTAATAATAGCAAAAAATTGTATATTTCTTTATTATGTAGATCTTTAATTGTTTGTAACACAATTTAAGGTATATACCTACATATAAATATTTTTTCAGAATCTCAAGATGAATCATTGATAGAAGAAAAGGAGGAGGAGCCGCCTTTGGAGGAAAATATATTAAAAATTATTGGGTTAGATCCATCAACAAAAAAGACAGAGTGCACTATTCATAAATCTTTAGCTGATGTATGGAAGTTAATTCTACAGGATGGTTTGGCCAAAGATCAGTTGGAAGAATTACTTCTTAAATACCAGGCTTTTTCAAACTGTCCATTGATGCAACCACCCAGGGTTAATCCAGAAATAAAAGCTTCAGTAAGTGAATCGTCTTTAACCCGAGACTCACGCCTGTTAGCCATTCAGAATCGCCTTTGCTCAGCTTTGTCTTCTATAGGCAGTGCTTTATCTATCCTCTTTTCAGAGGAGTTAGAAGAACCCAAATGTACAGTAATAAAACTAATTAGTGATGCTGCAAAATTAATTGCAGATGTTCATTATGAACAATCTCAGGCAAGGCGTGGATTGTTAAAGGGTGTACTTAATAAAGAAATGGCTGACACATTAGTTGAATCCTCAATGGATGGCTGGTTGTTTGGGAATAATTTAACTGAACGTATTAAAGCAGCGAAGCTTTTAGCTAAAACATCAGAGGATTTAAAACTGACTAAAAAACCTAAAACATCGTCAAAATTTTCAAACAAAAAAGTACTGCAACCACAACATTTAAACTACAAGCGTCTTCCTCGTCAACATTATCAGCAGGCTCGACAAGGGGGACAGAAAACAGGCCAACATTACAGTCAATCGAGAAGCAAGTCGAATTCCAGGAGCAACCACCAACCTCTGAACAACCGATACAATTATCGTCAGAAATAATTGCTCCAACAAAAAAGGCAGGTAGACTAAAATTTTTCATAAAAAATTGGGAATTAATTACATTGGATCCAGTTGTTTTATCGTGGATCAGGGGTGTACAGATTCCATTTACTGTGCCTGTTAGGCAATCAGTTCCTTTGCAACACCGAATTTGGTCGGTTAAAGATTTTCAAGATCTTAAATTAAACATTCTTGAATTAATTAATAAAGGTGCCATCTCTATATGTTCTCCTTGTAAAGGACAATTTTTGTCATCTTATTTTTTAGTTCCAAAGCCTGATGGATCAAAACGGTTTATTTTAAATTTAAAAAACTTAAATAAAAATTTAAATCCTGAACATTTTAAATTGGAGGACAAAAAACTTGCTGCAAAGTTAATGCAACAAGGTTGCTATATGGCCACCTTAGATTTACAGGATGCCTATTTTATGGTACCTATAGCCAAAAAATTTCGAAAATACTTAAGATTTGAATTTAATCATGTCTATTATGAATTTAATTGTCTTCCTTTTGGGCTAAGCATAGCACCTT